GTTTTTTTTACTTTAAACCGCATAAACACATTTCATTACACCAAATACACAAAATAATGTTATTTTTAGCAGCATCATATGACCCCAAAATACATCCGAGAGTTTTACACACCGGTCTGTTATTGTGGCGACATTTCCACGCCCCGAAACGTGATGCTGAACGAAACGAACTGTGATTGGTTGTTTGACATGTCGGTCAAACGGCCTCATGGGCGGGCCTTGGCCAATGAAAGCTGCCATGAATTCCAGACCTTCAGCCGTCAGTCTGAAGGTCTGGCTACGCGAGACTAGGTAAAGACTGCTCACATAGTCACTACTAAACAACAACAGTGCTTCCTGCATCGCAAGTCAGGAGTGGCAACACAAATACTATACATTATATTTTAGGGGAGCTTAAGAGAAAAACAGGTCAAATACAGTTCAATAGGTTGGAGTCAAGTTTTTTTTTTTTAAAGAAATTATGTAAAAGTTTCAAAATAATATGTCGTTTAAGAATAATATTCATTTAATAATATATAAAATTTCAAATAAATGTCGTTCTAACTGAACTTCCTATTAATAAAAGAACACTAAAATGCCAAGTTGTTTTGCAATATGACATTCAGAATTAAAAATAGTTATTTTAAATGGCTATATTTCACAATATTTTTAATCAAATAAACAGCCTTGGAGAAGACTTTTTTCAAAACATAATAAAAATACAGACCCCAAAACTTTGAACAGTCATGTACTGTATATAGTATATAGCACTAGAAAAAAAAAGTAATTGTAAAGTAACCTAGCATTCAAAAGTTTGGGGTCAGTATTCATCTATTTATTTATCTGTGAAATAATTATTTTATATTCACCAACCATACATTCAATTGGTAAAAAAATGCTATAAAAGATATAATGCTATAATGCTTTATAATGCTATAAAAGACTTCAAATGCTGTTCTTTTAACCTAAAAGTTAAAAGAAAAAAAATAAAAGTTTTCACAAAAATAAAGCTGTCTTCAACATTAATTGCAATAAGAAATGTTTCTCAATCATCAAATCAGCATATTAGAATGATTTCTGAAGGATCATGTGACATTGAAGACTGGAGTAATGATTCTGAAAATTCAGCTTTGCATCACTGGAATAAATAATATTTTAAAATACATTCAAATAGAAAAAAAGCTATTTTATATTGTAATAATATTCCATAACACGCAGAACCCACCAAGTAATATATTGACAAATTATCAACAAAGCTTTTACAAATTGTGTTGTCCTCACTGACTCATAAATCAGTGCAGTTCTTTTGAATGAATCAGAAGAATTATCGGCATGAATCATAGACTGAATCAGTCTAAAAATGTACTACTACACTAAATAATCATGGATTAGGCTACTTGCTTGCTGACTATAAATTTATGATGTTAGACTCCAAAATTAGCTCAGATTTTTAAATAAATGTGCAAATGGCTTCAGCTAAGAAACACATGAAGCTTTAAAACAGTGTTACTGTCTGATCCTCAGCACTCCGAACAGTCAGCGTTATTCATTCTCTCGAGCGCTGTGTCATTGTGGGTGAGATGTTGGTTTAGACTGACAGCAATGAGAACACAATAGCCCACACAGTGCGGTCATTCAGTCTCAGAACGACAATGGCCATACTCAAAGCACAAGATGAGACTTCTTTTACAACTTTGGAAATATAGGACTGTCTGGATAACAGAATGCACTATTAAGCCTCAGTTATACCACATTGAAAGGCCTTAATTTGTATGTGGACACTTAAAAATTTCTAAATGTCATTGCAGATTGCAAAATATCAAACCAAGTGGCATCTGAAATTGATGTTATCTATAATCAAATTTAGAGGGCATTACTTCACACGGAATACTGAACAGATTTATTAATGCCGATGTGTTATTTATGCTGCTTAATAAGGAACACTCCACTATTTTTGAAAATAGGCTCATTTTCCAACTCCCCTAGAGTTAAACAGTTGAGTTTTACCATTTTCGAATCCATTCAGCCGATCTCCGGGTCTGGCGGTAGCTACTTTAAACCGCATAAACACATTTCATTACACCAAATACACAAAATAATGTTATTTTTAGCAGCATCATATGACCCCAAAATACATCCGAGAGTTTTACACACCGGTCTGTTATTGTGGCGACATTTCCACGCCCCGAAACGTGATGCTGAACGAAACGAACTGTGATTGGTTGTTTGACATGTCGGTCAAACGGCCTCATGGGCGGGCCTTGGCCAATGAAAGCTGCCATGAATTCCAGACCTTCAGCCGTCAGTCTGAAGGTCTGGCTACGCGAGACTAGGTAAAGACTGCTCACATAGTCACTACTAAACAACAACAGTGCTTCCTGCATCGCAAGTCAGGAGTGGCAACACAAATACTATACATTATATTTTAGGGGAGCTTAAGAGAAAAACAGGTCAAATACAGTTCAATAGGTTGGAGTCAAGTTTTTTTTTTTTAAAGAAATTATGTAAAAGTTTCAAAATAATATGTCGTTTAAGAATAATATTCATTTAATAATATATAAAATTTCAAATAAATGTCGTTCTAACTGAACTTCCTATTAATAAAAGAACACTAAAATGCCAAGTTGTTTTGCAATATGACATTCAGAATTAAAAATAGTTATTTTAAATGGCTATATTTCACAATATTTTTAATCAAATAAACAGCCTTGGAGAAGACTTTTTTCAAAACATAATAAAAATACAGACCCCAAAACTTTGAACAGTCATGTACTGTATATAGTATATAGCACTAGAAAAAAAAAGTAATTGTAAAGTAACCTAGCATTCAAAAGTTTGGGGTCAGTATTCATCTATTTATTTATCTGTGAAATAATTATTTTATATTCACCAACCATACATTCAATTGGTAAAAAAATGCTATAAAAGATATAATGCTATAATGCTTTATAATGCTATAAAAGACTTCAAATGCTGTTCTTTTAACCTAAAAGTTAAAAGAAAAAAAATAAAAGTTTTCACAAAAATAAAGCTGTCTTCAACATTAATTGCAATAAGAAATGTTTCTCAATCATCAAATCAGCATATTAGAATGATTTCTGAAGGATCATGTGACATTGAAGACTGGAGTAATGATTCTGAAAATTCAGCTTTGCATCACTGGAATAAATAATATTTTAAAATACATTCAAATAGAAAAAAAGCTATTTTATATTGTAATAATATTCCATAACACGCAGAACCCACCAAGTAATATATTGACAAATTATCAACAAAGCTTTTACAAATTGTGTTGTCCTCACTGACTCATAAATCAGTGCAGTTCTTTTGAATGAATCAGAAGAATTATCGGCATGAATCATAGACTGAATCAGTCTAAAAATGTACTACTACACTAAATAATCATGGATTAGGCTACTTGCTTGCTGACTATAAATTTATGATGTTAGACTCCAAAATTAGCTCAGATTTTTAAATAAATGTGCAAATGGCTTCAGCTAAGAAACACATGAAGCTTTAAAACAGTGTTACTGTCTGATCCTCAGCACTCCGAACAGTCAGCGTTATTCATTCTCTCGAGCGCTGTGTCATTGTGGGTGAGATGTTGGTTTAGACTGACAGCAATGAGAACACAATAGCCCACACAGTGCGGTCATTCAGTCTCAGAACGACAATGGCCATACTCAAAGCACAAGATGAGACTTCTTTTACAACTTTGGAAATATAGGACTGTCTGGATAACAGAATGCACTATTAAGCCTCAGTTATACCACATTGAAAGGCCTTAATTTGTATGTGGACACTTAAAAATTTCTAAATGTCATTGCAGATTGCAAAATATCAAACCAAGTGGCATCTGAAATTGATGTTATCTATAATCAAATTTAGAGGGCATTACTTCACACGGAATACTGAACAGATTTATTAATGCCGATGTGTTATTTATGCTGCTTAATAAGGAACACTCCACTATTTTTGAAAATAGGCTCATTTTCCAACTCCCCTAGAGTTAAACAGTTGAGTTTTACCATTTTCGAATCCATTCAGCCGATCTCCGGGTCTGGCGGTAGCACTTTTAGCTGTAGCTTAGCATAGATCATTGAATCTGATTAGACCGTTAGCATCTCGCTCAAAAATGACCAAAGAGTTTCTATAGTTTTCCTATTTAAAACTTGACTCTTCTGTAGTTACATCGTGTACTAAGACCGACGGAAAATGAAAAATTTCGATTTCCTAGGCCGGTATGTCTAGGAACTATACGCTCATTCCAGCGTAATAATCAAGGAACTTTGCTGCCGTACCATGGGTGCAGCAGGCACAATATTACGCAGTGCCTGAAAATAGGCTTATTGGAAGTTACCTAGCAAAACTCAACTTTCAGGCGCTGCGTAATATCATTGCGCAGCCTATTTTCAAAAATAGTGGTGTGTTCCTTTAAGCTCTAAATGGCTGATGAATAATCCAGTTCAAACATTCCTTGAATCACAGCTAAATCAAAGCCCTCCTATATCTTCATACGGATATAGGTTAATATCAGTCCATTTCCTGGTGTACAGCAGGATCAGAGTAAAATATGCACACCTCTCCCAGTACATACTGTTCAGTGCACAATGAGGCAGATGAAGAAAACAGGCACTGACTGAGAGGAGAGGTAAACTAACAATGCCTGAGCTCACTGTGAGAAAATGCTTTGACTTTGATTCTAGACTTGCTTTTCTGGTAAATCTCATGAAACATCTGAAGACCATGTCCAGGTCATATTCACTTTCAAATCAAACTAAAATAATTTGACGGCCCTTAAAATGTTTGGCAGTATGACACTGTCAATTAAGCACTAGAAAAATCATTTAAATTGTGTATTATAGGGCTGCAAAATGATTAATCACATTCAAAATAAAAGTTTATGTTCACATAATATATGTGTGAGTACTGTGTATATTTATTAAGTATATATAAATACACACACATACATATTAAGGAAAAATATGTTAGATTTATATATAATATATATTAGATACAAGTATAAATATATATATACATATAAATATATATAAAAAAAATTATATATGCATAATAAATGTACACAGTACACACACATATAGTATGTGAACATAAACTTTTATTTTGAATGTGATTAATCATGATTAATCGTTTTGCAGTCCCAGTATATTACACTACCATTCAAAAGTTTGGCATCAATAAGATTTTTTTCCAAGAAATTAACACTTTTTTTTGTAGCAATGACACTTTAAATGTATTTGATATTATTTGATGTTTCAAATAAATGCTGTTCTTTTGAGCTTTCTATTCATCAAAACCTGAAAAAAATCATGGTTTCGACAAATGTTAAGCAGCACAACAGCTGATAATAATCAGAAATGTTTCTAGCATATTAGAATAATTTCTGAAGGATCATGTGACACTGAAGACTGGAGTAATGATGCTGAAAATCAGCTGAACCAACACAGGAATAAATGACATTTTTAAAATGAATAAAAATAGTAATAATTTTATTACAAAATGTCCTAATTTTTCAATGTTACTGTTTTTATTGTATTTTTGATCAAATAAATGCACCCCAGGTGAGCATGAGACTTCTTTCAAAAACATTTAAAAGATTCTGACCAACCCCAAACTTTTGAATAGTAGTGTGTACACATGCACACACATCAAGATAGTATTTTTGTACTGCCATTCATTTATCATGATTTTTTTTACGTATTACCGCATTTATGATAATACTGTAAAAATACTTATAACAGCAATAAGAATAATCATTGACAATAAATAGGAACTACCCTCCCCAAAATAAAATAAAATAAAATAAAATAAAATAAAAAAAGTTTGGGCTCATTACTGTCAATTTAAAATGTTTTTAAATATAATAAAGAAATTCTAATTATTTTTAAACTTCTGATTTCAAAGGCCCTGTCCCAAATGGCACCCTAAATCCTCACGGTCTTCCTGAGTCCACACTTTCGTGACGTAATGCCGCTTTGACTGCCGAGTAGAAGTCGGCTGCGTAGCTCGCAGGCTTGCGGATTGAAGTGTGGATCGAGGGCGCATAGCGGCCACAAAGGGGGCGCTCGTGAGCACCCTTCTTAAAGCTAAAATGACAAATGGGAAACCCTACGGCAGGGATCCTCAAATCTGGAAAAGAGATCCACTTTCCAGCTGAGTTTAGCTCTAACCCTAATCAAACACACCTGAGCATGCTAATCAATGTCTTCAGGATCATTAGAAAATCACAGGTAGGTGAGTTTGATCAGGGTTGGAGCTAAACTCTGCAGCGCACAGAGTTGTGCAGTCCACAAGATTTGAGGAACCCTGCCCTATGGTCTTGTGGACTTAGCGTACACGCGCACGTAGTGGCCATTGTAAGTCCTCAAGACCGAAAGTGCTATGGTCTCGTGGACTTAGCGGACACGCGCACGTAGTGGCCATTGTAAGTCCTCAAGACCGAAAGTGCACATGAAGTGTGCCATTTGGGACAGAGCCAAAATGAAGGATAAAAATTAGTGCATGTTCTTATTATTTGAACCTCCAAGTTTCTAAAGACCATACTGAAGTGAAGCTGGACTGAAGTGACCTGAAAGCTGTCTGAGGCCACTTCAACCTTGTTGTAACCTTCCACTGCGTCGGAAGGAAATGGCTCGAGTCTACAAGAAAGCAAGCAGGATTGTCTCCTATTCCTTTGTCCAATGTCTTTTCTTGTAGAAAACAAGGGTGATGATGATCTAGTCACCATGCAATATGAAGCAGATTAACATTAAACAAGATGGGCCTAATAATCTTTTTTAAAAGTAAGATTTCAAACTATTGCTGTGGAAAACACAATCAAAACAAAATCTGTGTAACAAGGAAACAATGAAACATAAACTAAATCCACACTCACCCACAGTTTGCTCTCGTAGTAAAACGCGTCAAGCAGCTTGACAATATTGTGATGATCACATGATGCCAAGATGTCGATCTCCACCATGTAGTCCTCCAGCTCATCTTCAGTTTTGGTGTCAATCACCTTTGCAGCAGCAAAAATGCCTGTCTGCTTGTTTTGAGCCTGAATAAAAAGAAAATTATATTTCAATAATAAGTTTATTTATACATAGCCCACTAAAAAATGTATCATACAAGTAAACCATTTTTAGGGTGTGTGTACAATATAACATTAAAAAAAGAGCAAGACTGGTTGGCAGGCATTTCAACGAATATTTTGTTAGTGATGAGAATGAAAATCTGTATTAATGGTAGTAAACTATGTTTATTTTTATTATGTTATTGTTTATTGTACACATTCTGATGTTAAACTACCTGATGAATCAGACATAAATGTTTGAGGCATGACATACAAAAATACATGTGTAGACTATGTGTAGATCTCTTTTAATAACTAGCAAAACAAGCACTTTGGAGGAAAAAAACTATTAATTAGACTCATGCAGTCAGCGTGACGCAGTACACCCTTCAACAGAAATCCTATTCAGTGTCATTCACAGTAATGAGTCTTTCTGCAGTGCAGAGCAATGAAGGTCACAGAACAATTCGATCCAATGTACGGCTTCTGTAAGTGAGTGGTTATCTAAAGTATTTAGAAGCTAACGTGATTCAGTAGTGAAAAATTAACCAGGTCAAAGTCTGCTGTTTATTGCAGGATGATTGTGAATGTGCAGTGGTTTTTGATTGCATTTTGCCATTATGTGTGAAGAAGTTGCTTTTGATGTATTTGACATGTTATCAAGACATTTCATTTTTCGAATTCAAACTTTGACCATGTAAAACTTACATTCAATAAAAAAAAAATAATACATATACAATTTGTAATGCAAATACACATTTTTCATAAAATATAAATGAATACAACAATGACAAAAAAATAGTAATAGTATTGAAAGTGAGTTAAAATTATAAAAAAAAAAATCAAGTGTTTCTAATTTAAGCAAATATTTTGTAAAAAAAAAAAAAAAAAAAAATTTCCAGTCTCTATT